TCAATAACAGCTAAATATTGCATCAATTTTAAGTACGGATTACAATAATCTGATTATACAGCATAAGACTATTGGATTTTAGTTACGCCCGGGAATGCAAATGCGAAATGAAAGTTGTCCGCCATTATGTCGTGGAGGTTGGGCGTTTTGTAAGTTATGCGCATGCGTGAGTTTAAGACGAGTTAAAACTGGTAACTAGCAAACGTTTGCAAGTGTGCGATTGGCTGAATTAAAATTTTGGTCACGTCAACATAACTGACATTTTGAAATATAAAAAACTATTTTTATTTCGATGATCTTGAAAATATACGAAAAATTCAGTCGTAAAATTGATTAAAATATAATGTGAAAGATGCTTTGTTGACCCCAAACTGATGTTCCCGACAAATCACAAAGTCTCAAACAACAATATTTAGTAAAGAAAATGTATTAAATTCACTAAGTCTTCGTCCGCACTTCTCGCGTGTCACACCCTCACTAACTCAATTTAAACCCCTTCCCTTAATTAATGTGATATATGATATTGTGCAGTTTGTGCATTGTTAAGTGCCTGCCCTAAAGGTATTTTTAGTGCTTATCTGTTGGTCAGTTCCCGACAAGATGCTTTCGGATAGAAAAACTTTGATTCAAAGGGATGGTAAAAAATCTACGATTTTGAAGCATTTTTAGAGTGTTTTTGAACAGGTAAATGGTTAGATTTTGTATTTTAAAACACTTACAAGTATTTTGTAAGTTTAATTTGTGGATTTATCAACAAACGTATTGACACCTCTTAAATTTATTTGTCAATTTCGTTAAAATTATTTTGATTGGGAAAACATTTATTTTTAAAGGTGAATGTGTTTAAGAAATTGAAATTTCGCTAAAAATTGTAGTAGAATATTTAAAACTATTCGCAGCACAATTAATGAATTATGCTAACAGTATAGTTGAATTTGATAGCTCGAGAGTCGACTTTATATAGTATACTTTATTGTACTTCATATAGTCATTTACTTATACGAATTTAAATTATGGAAATATATGTTTATCCCTTCAGGCGAGGGGTTGCTGCATGCATGTATTTCTAGTATGACTGTGTAGTCGTGTGCTCTCAAAATGAAAGCATGTATAACTACAGTCTAAAAAGCGATATGGCCGATATAGCTATATGGCAGAAAAATGGCGAATTTGTATATATCATATCACTTTTTCACAGTATAGCGAATACTATAATGTTTATACCTATACTATAACGCATTAGTTAGTTGTTTTTGCCAACATGGATCGTGAAATGCATAGTTTTATTATATATACATCTCAGATACGATGCTTAGTTAGAGTTTTAATGTATTTATCACACTTCACACATATTTCTTTACTTATAAATAATCAGGCAATCCCAGAAAGTTCTTCTCCTCTCCTCTGTCAATTGATAATGTTCCAATTAGACAAGTTACTTTTTCAAAATCTCTTGGTACATATATTGATGAAAATATGTCTTGGAAAATTCATATTAGAAAATTGTGCAAAAAAGTTGCCTCAGGTATAGGTGCTCTAAAACGTATAAAGCCTTTTGTTCCTCATTCCACATTCCTCATTTCACAGTGCCTTATTCACTACAGAACTGTTTAGTACTGCAAGCGTTAAGCTTGCCACACTCATCAACGACTGCATATAAGAGATGCAGATTTAATTAGGTCATGTTGCATGTAATTGGTTAAACTGGGTTAGTAAAAACTTCTTTCGATGCCGGCGTGTGGAAACAAGTTCATTACGCTAGTTCAAAGAGCTTAATTCAGGATGACATATGATTATAGATTTCTTGGAGGGCATAAATTACAGCGTTTAGTTTTATTGCAATGCGTTTGTAATTTGTTAATGTGATTTCTATTAGTTTAGATTTATCATAAAGTTTCGAACCTATAGAATTTCGTCATGTAAAGAAAAAATATCGCCTTTAAGGGGCCGGAATGTTGGTTTCAAAACGGAAGGTCATTCAAGTTGTTATTTTGTAAAAGACCTTCTGGCAAAAACAAGTTGTCATTTTCCGTTTCAGTGCAAAGATTTACATCAAATGCGTGAATTTGGTTAGCAAATGCGCAATGCGGTTACCTTGCCTAGCCACGCTATGTCCGTCAAAGTAAAACACTTCGCGGTTTCTATGTTTTGAAAATCTTATACAGTCTTTTGAGTGCTGTCTAAACAAAAGTAAAAGTAAAACAAAAGTTGAATTTTGAATGATTAAACTGTCTTCATGTTTTCCTAAGTATCGTTTAAAAATTAACATCCACTAAACAAAAACAACAAAGTTTATAATTATCATAACCTCGATCACTTTTTCTATTGAATTTGAAATTACATAAACAAAGGCAAAATGATGTCAACATTTTGTTTAGTTCACCTTATGCATGGGTTACTAAACAATAGATAATGATAGGCATTCACATTTAGTCAATTTTTCTAATATTTATTGTTTTATACACTGTATAATATTAATTAAAGCATTTCATTTAAGGTTCCCATATCAACCCTTATTGAGGCACATTTTCAAAAAAGTCACTTGAAAATCTTATAGAAATTTTAACGAACAATATATAACAAGACGCCTACTAGGCGTTATGATCGCGTCGTTCGCAGCGACGTAGCCAGCCCAGCTATGCAAATTTTGTGTCGTAAATGTTCTTAATAATAAAAATGAACAATATACCGAACTATAGTATAGGTCGCATGTTGAAAGCAGGAGAAACATCAACAGCCCATTTCAAAACCGCTCTACCTGTGCGCAGGTTCCCGATTAGGGTGATACGGCCTGCAGCTAGCGACGCTGGGGGTCGACAAAGGTTTTTTGCCTGTTAATGGGCTAACTCATTAGGCATCGGAATGTTTATGAATCTATCCACTCATCTTACCTTCCAAAAACTTCTCTTGGTATGCCAGTCAACAATAACAAACAAATAAAGATTATCCAATCTGTGTTTCGCAGAATGGCAGCCGCCCCTTAAATCTCTTGCTCCGGAAAAACGAACTCGAGTCAAAGAGCTAAGTATAAGGAACAATAATTTTTTCCACGGCCAATTGTTTATTTTAATGTGTCTGTCCACGGGCTATAGCTGTAAACTATACTACAAACCGACTCCCGGAATCCTGCATTAACGCTTTTTTCAAGAACGTACAAATTTCTCGAAATATTTTATACAGTATCAGCCAGGGGCGGATCTAGGATTTTTCGTACCTTAGTCAAAAAGTTTCAGTCAGGTAATTCCGGGGGGGGAAAGCGTCGCATTCGTCAGGGGGGGTGCAGATGCAATGTGACTGTTTCGCAAAATATCAGGGCTCATCAGCATGCCTAGGAAAAGCATGATACTACAAAGATATTGTGTGATTCTGACATGGACAGGCATTTTCCATAAGAGCACATGCTGATTGTTTTTATGCGCCAGCAGTGGCCCAGCACCCGCCTTCAAATCTTTGCACTGGTATAGACATTGGTGAATGTAGTAGCAAATGATGCTTTACATATTGCAAGTAACCATACTTGATTAAATTTACATAAGTAAAGTGCAACCACAAATATGCTAGTTTGATTGAATATTCTGGTGTTTCTTACATTTACAACAAAACAAAATATGAAGATCATCCAAACCTTCCTTTGGAGTTAAGTGTGGTTGATTCATGCAATTAAATAGCAATTTACTTCTTTGTTCCCCACAATCAGGATAATTAATAGGTGAAAGTATTCCTATTTAAAATTGAAGCAATTAAGACCCATCCATTATACAGAGAATTAAAGGATGACCATTTCTTCTCACTGCAATTAATTAAGTATATATATAGCTTCCTGTCTAACCAAGTCATATTTCATACAACCAGTATCTATAAACATCCCTTAGAAACAGACATTGGTAAAAGGTTTATATTGATACTTTGGCTGAAGTATTGATCATGCTCTTCCACAACAGAAGAATAACAAGGGTGCTGAGAATAAAAATGAGCATTAAGGAAGAGCTCTATGGAGGTCAAAATTCTCAATAGCTTCATTAGGCTTTTGTTACCCACTTCTACTAAGGACACAGAGCTATACAAGCAGTTCCCAGTAGTGTCAGATCTAAGAGAGACTAGGACGTGAATGAAACTCTGTTTTATCAGTCAGTCACTTAGGTAAAGATGAATAAATATTAACCTAGTAATTGATAGACTTGATAGCAAAAACATCATGTACCACTTTCATGAACCATTAAGTATGAATAATTGGCAATATGATTATAGAATTATAGTTATATAATAAACTAGTGCTCATCGTTTAAAATGTAATCAGAAAATATGGCCACTTGCAGTTTACTGCTATGTGTTTTAAATAATTATTTTTGAAATTAAAACACAGTTCAGTGCTCTAAGCTTTTAATATCCTAACACATCGGGTTGTACATTTCACAGAAGGTATTAGGTATACACGTAGTTCACATGGTAGTGATAATATATCATTACACTCCTCGATTCCTCTTGAAGCGTATGCATACGCCGCAGTTATATGCAAATTAAAGCGAAATCCTATGTAAATTTTAACGTGCAACGTGTAAATCTCAACTTTATAGCTTGTGCAGCTTAACAGTTCTAACACAAATCACACGATCACCAATAAACAAATGCACGAAATCTTTGTAAAATTTTGTTATGTTTACCTTAAGGCCGTACAAAACTTCTTTGTTGTCTTCCGAACAGACATCGGGATGTACGATTCCGCAGCAAAATTTCTCGTGAGGCTGCAAAAGCTGGTGTTTTTCAGTTCGTTTAAAAATTGCTCAGTTGAACGCTTTGCTGCGGCGTCTATTCGCTTCTTCAGATCGGCTCGATAGTTTTAAGATATTGCCGATCGTCTTTCTCCAAAGCACATCTCACGGCTTTGTAAATATCTGACATGATTAATAAATAGTTTTGATAATAAAATTTTTCTTTTGAGTTTAATAATCGTTCGAGTTTTCGTTGCTGTCAAAACTACAATGACGTCATCAGAAAGGCCAAGGAACCTTGCTGTTTGCACGCTCTCAGGTCAAGGTCAGATCACACTGATCGATCAGAAAAATACAACCAATGAGAATTCAGATAGATTTTGAATTAGCCAATTGAATAGCCCGATTCGAGCCCCTGATCGCTTCACCGATCAGAACTCCCCACAGATCGCGCAAAAAGAGGGACAGCCAATCAGATGACAGGGATTTGATGACGAAGCGAGCAAAATTCATGCATAAGACCGCTTTTCTGCGCGCTCGTGCTTGAAGGCCTGGTCACGGAACTCTTTTAACAACTGGACTGCCAAACATCACGAGTGCCTGATCAGCCCAATACACTGCACGTGTTAAGCAACTGGACTGCTATTTCATTCAAACACTTTTCTTGGCAATTTTTGCCTTAGTCGCGTGATCGCTCTGATCACCCCTAGATCCGCCCCTGGTATCAGCTAACCAATTCGCGGTAAAAAATTAAGTCGTAGGTTTGTTAACACGGCAATGTTGAAGTCGTAGGTTGTGTTAACACGGCAATGCGGCAATATTGAAAGCCAGTCGATTTTTGGTTGCCGAACGACCCTGTACGTATATAACTACGTATCGACCATGTTTCAACCTTGAAACAACGTTGACAAGCGACATTGATTCGACGTCGTGGAAATGACCTTGACGTGGAAACAACGTCGATTTCCCGCTGATCGACGTCGCGACAAAAGTTCAACCAAAATTCCACGTCGAAACGAAGTCGTGTGCTCACTTGGTACCCATATAGGCATGCAGGAAACGGCGGATATCGCCTGTCAAAAAAGGCCAATTGTCTACACAAGTGTAGTGTCTGTTATTTGGCTTACACAATCGGCAATGTACGTCGCCACATCTTCCTTCTTAATGTTGAGACAACATCTATATAATTTGTCGATGGTTGACGTGATTTTGGTCTCCACTGTAGTTTTGCCAACTCCGAAGTTCGCGATTTCCTCGTAAGCGAAATCGCCAAAATTTGCCGCTAGATCTTTCCAGTTTGGCCTACCTTCAGGAGTGAGCAGCTCCACGAGTTTCATAAGAAAAGAAGAGGTTTGATTTTGCAGGAGCTGACCTGTAAACAGTACTTTATAACAGTATTCAATGTTTTGTTCGGGGTGCATTGAATTTCAATCAAAAAATTGAATCACACGGGCAGAGGCGTAGCCAGGATTTTGGGGAAGGGGGGCCAGCAAGAACATTGGCGGGGCCAGGCCGCCAGTGTCAATCGAGACAAGGTTTGTGCAAAACATTCTGTGCAGGATACTATGGCAATAATGATGAAAATGACATGCAGCCGGAAGTTTTAAAATATTGACGCCCTTACAACGATTCGCTTACGCCCCTACCCAAGAAAGATGTTTAGCTTAAACGGTGAACTGATAAGAGACTTGAATGTTCAATTTCCAAAAGAACTGCATGCATAATAATTGCAAATGAATTGCATATGATGTGTGTTCAGCTTAGATGGGAACGTATTTGATCTCTGGCTTCGAAAAACCGGCCCCAGACTAACAATCTTATCTATGAAACTTATTCATAAACTATCCCTGTGTGCAGCGATTACTTTACCTGTATGTAATTGCTTGTATCGTCGTTGCCCTGGCGGGAGCGCCCAGTAATCCTTCTCCCTGACATTGCAGATAATTTTTTTTCGTACACCAGTAGACGATAAAACCCACCGGAAGAAAAAAGAATATCAGTACCACCGCCGTGACAATGAGCAGTGTTAGGTTTGTGGATGAGCAACTGCTTTCATTTTTTTCTCCTGGTAAAATATTTGCAAACAATGTGTTGAAGACTTCAATTTGATTACGAAATCGCGATACATAATTGCATTTCCAATTCCATTTATCAGATATGACTCACTATCATTCCAACAAGTATCATACATGATTTATGAATGCTGAAAACTTACCTCTGTAATAAATAAGTCAAAGAGCGGGATATTCTTTTATGAGCCCTATATCAGAATAAATTGAATTATTATGTTTAAGAAGTCAATCCTGATTATTAAATAATATCATAGGAATTCATAGGAATGATAGACTGTATTTTTGGTAGCATTGCCTACAACCAGATGCAGTTACTTATTACCAACTACTCAACTATACTGACACTTTAGTTCGACAGGATCATTTTCAAAATACAACTGACCACACAAAATACAAAATCTGGGATTAAAAAGTAGACAGAAACCAAGTTTGCTAAACACAGATCATCATAAGAACTCCACGTACAACAACAAGGGTATCACTTACTGTTCCACCACAATTGAGTCAGCAAGGAAGCAATATTTATATCATCGATGAAATCTTTTGTTTTTCCTCCATGATACATTGTATGCACTTTCATTGTCTTATATAGTAAGGTTAGTGTAAATTGGGGATTGATACAATTATCAATCAGTCTATATTATCTATGATTAATTATTCTTCTCTATTTTAAGTTTTCAAAAGAGTATGTTGCGCGTAGACCATTAGGTATTAATTTCAAAGACTTACATGTACGTAAAAACGAGATATGATTGTAGTGGCGGGTAATTTTCTTCGCAATACGATATGATGAAGGTGTTGTGGTTGCCATGCCTGGTTTTAATTACCTTGAAGTCTTGTTTTCAAAGGAGAACCTGAAGGGAATATATTTTACAGTTTTACTTTTCCATCCATTTTTCCCCGAGCCGGCGCGAAGCGCCGTGCGAGGGTACTAATTTCGCCCGGAGATTAGGATTACACCCGGAACCCGTGAGAACATAGCGAAATGAAAGTGGACGGTCAACGGTGGACGTTCGACCTTTTTGCCAGTTATGCGCGTGCGCTGAAATTAAACGAGAGAAGACTTGGTAATCAATAACTTTCTGATTGGCTAAGACAAGAAGGCTAAAATTAAACGACTGAAGACTGGTTTTTAGTGAGTGGGAAGATTTTACACTTCATAATTTCTCACCCGGCCACATTTATTAAAAAGTCATTCTTTTCAGTTTAAACACAACTAAATATGCTAAAATGTATTTCACTATAAATCTGAATGTGTTATGTGATCGACGACATTATCATTTCATTATAAACTCCGTTTTTATAATGACAAAAAGAAAATCAAATAAATATATTCGCGTGCAAAAACCAGTCGAGACGTAACAAAACTTCGGAAGTTGTACGAGACGTCTGATGTTATATTTCAATGAAAAGTAATAATTAAAATAATTTACCATAATACTGATTATAGATGAATAACTTAACTTCAAAAAATGCTAAGAATCTTGTCGTATTTTTGCCCTTTTTTCCCAAAAATATGAGGGTAAACTAAACTTTATAAACCAAAATATACGGCCGTAACAAGTTGCTATGGCTACAGTGCTTCCACTTCCAAAAAAACATTTCCATACTTCTTTTCTCACATACCACGACATAACTATCATGTTAAATAATCATCCCTATTCTTAATTTCGTTTAACTGAGGCGAGGGGTTGCTGCATGCATGTATTTCTAGTAAGCCAGTAAAATGGCAATGATTAGAAGCTCGAATGAAAAGTAAGTTGATATCTTGAGGCAAAATACGTTTAACGCATGCAGTCTGTAATATTTCAATGTCCTCAGCAATTCGATATTTCCACCGTAATAAGGCGTAATTAGAGCTTGATATTAGATTTTTACCCTAAATATTTAAGAAAGGACTTTTTCATTGATAAGTATACGTAAGACGGGATTTCTACGTGACAAGCAATGATTGTCAGTGAGCTTTTTGAATATACAGATACAAACGTAAAAGATTTTAATAGTATAAAAAGAAGTATACAATATGATTTGTTAAGAAACAATTTATTAATGACGACACAATACATGAAAAACAAGTCACAAACTCAGCAAATTTGCCATCCTGGATTTCAAATTTACAGAGAAATTGCAAGGCTGGCTAACTTTTGGTATCAATGGTCTCATGAAATCACCACCTTGTCTCTCTTTTTTAATTCTTGAACTTCGTTTATTGGGGATGATACCTCCTCCTCTCTTGTCTTTTTTTTTCTTGAATTCTCTTGCTCCTTCTTACGGGGTATTTTACCATTTTTAATCCCAGTTGTCTTTCTTCTGTAAAATAATTTCATCTTTGACAATTTTTTTCCGAACTTCTATGACCGAACCTTCCTTTATTGCTTTTTCTACCTCTCTCGAAAATTTCTCAGGAAACGGCAACGATGAGCTCCTTTCCGGGGTATTTGGTGTTTATTCCTAGCTCTCCAATATATCGACTACCACCACTAACATTTATTATAAAGATATAGTAAGAAAAATTTCACATTATTAATAATACCGGACAGAACAAAAGGCATGCCCAACAGAACAATTTTTCTAAAATTAAGCTGCCACAAAGCCAATCCTTTTTGGAGTACCACTCCTTCATGAATGACATCCCCTTATTTTTAATATTTAAATTTGGTCGTTCCTTGACAATAACATTTTGTTCGACAGTTGGTCGAACAGAAAAAGATGTTTAACAACAAAGCATTTACAATATCGGATACACATGATAGAACAGAAAGTACTTATAGGCCGAATCATGTCACCCGGATTTTTCCTTTCTTTTCTTTTCATTTCCGATTCCAGAAAGGTTGGAATTTGATTTAAGTAAGACAAGCTTTATCATACGTTATCCCATATATTTCGACCGGAGTTTGTGACGAATAATAAAAAAAACTTTCAAAAAACGTTTCAAAAATGTTTAATATTTATTTGTTTTACACCTTTTCATTTGACGAACGTGATGTTAGCCTATGGAGCAAGACATTTCACAAAAAATAGCTTTTTTAGTAATACTCCGGAAATAAATTTTAATGGTTTATTAATTTTAATATTTTGCCAATACATTGATTGAACTTATCCATAAAAAATTTTCGTTTTTTATAAAAAATCTAACCGTTCCTTGGAACGACACTTTCCATAATAGTATACTTGTGCAAATGTGGATTCTTTTATGCGGGATTCGTAAATTTAAATACAAAGGCTTTGACTGGGTTCTTTTCCATTTCAAAATAGGAAATTAACACTTTACTTACGTGCGTATTTGAAAGATACTTATTTCAACAGTCTTTGAAAACATTTTGAATTGAAATTATTGAAGTGATCGTGTCTTCAGAGAAACAATCAAGAATCCTAAAATATTTACTGCATTAGAACTAAAAATTCTTGTTGTGTTCAGTTCGATCTTTGCCTGAATGTCTATTATCAATTTAAACTTTATGTTGCTTACCTTTCACGATGTATGTTGTGTACTTTTTTTCTCCTCCTACATGTACGTGATGTGCGTCCTTGTGTATTTTCGAAATTTATGTTTTGATAACTAATATTTCTATTGTATTGTGTGTCCGTTCTTCTGTTCGCGTTTTCAATTAGGTGACTTGTTCGTGTATACGTGCTTATTATTATTAAAAACTCCTTAACTCTTCCTCTTTTGTGCTGCAAAAAGTGTGTTCTCGGCGAAAAAACTTATTTAGTTTTGTCCGTGAAGAGGCAAAATGATTTCAACCTGAATTCCACTGGAGAACATACTCGATTCTTCCTGGTCCAGCTACAACGCCTCATAATGGCACTGGGGTGTATAACAGAAAAATCTCTTGTAAATATTTTCTGGAAAGAAAAAGTATACGGATTGGAAAGACGTATACGGATTGAAAAGAGTTCATTAGTGACACCAAAAAGATTTTGCGAACATCGTGTATCAAGAACACAATTTTATATTTGGAACTCTAAGTTGTATAACCTCCAATACAACCACTGGACTAACTGGACATTCTTTCTGAGGATAGAGTTCAAGTGGTTTTCTGTCTCTTGAACTTCAGTAAAAGAAGTATTTCCACCTTTATCTTAGGAATCTCCCCTAATCGATCACCATTGTAAACCGAATATCGCTTCCCCAGTTTACTCCTTGTGGTAAATGTTACCGATGGTTACTCTGGGATTTTAGAGGAACGTTTCACCTACGCATTCAACCCCTCATCTATAGTTCATAAGAACTCAGAATATCTCAACCCATGTAAGAAATACCTCCACCACCTTGCCAAACCTACACCCGTGCTTAAACTAGCGCTTCTATAATCAACATGAACCACCATCAACAACTATACCAACTCAGTCTATCATTGATCGACCGCGATGAAAGATACTATGTATAACTGAACATAAGTTCAGATTTTGCATATATTATTCAGTATACAGTCACAATTCCAACAACAACAACACACAGGAATGGGTCATCTTATAAAACAATATACTGTACCTCGAGTCAGCTAAAACAACTATTTTACAGAAAAAGTTGCTGTCAAGAAAACGCGAAGGTGGAAAATATAGATTTCGAATGTGTTAATGCAATACCCAACTTGTTTGAAATGAATAATACTCCTTATGGACGTCAATTATAAACAAAGAACTACGGAGATCCTTACTGGTGATGATCCCCACAGTACATGGATGACATTTTTGAAAAATATGGAACAAATTACTATGCAGGGCTAGACGCTCGTCAATTTTAAAGAAGCCAAGCTGGGGCCGGATATGTATCCACACTTTGCACACATCAACTTGTACTAGGAATTGAGCAATGTTCAGGTTATCTCAGAAAGTGCTTCCTCTGTTTCATGGTGTTTGGCCTCAAGTCACACTGAAGAACGTGTCCCTAGCTCTAATTATAGCTTGGGAAGTTCTTGTAATTTTGTTAACCTTATGCTTCACTTTGAGCAATTATAAGGTGGTGTGGCGTCCCACATTTAGTGGGTGATTCATGTCAAATATGAGGCTCCTGGCTCATTATTATTTGTTTTTCTTTACATCTTTTGTTTGCTTCCAAATTCTCTTCAGTTCCTTCATTCATTAATTTCTTTAAGAGCGAAATTCAAATCCTGATATGATAAAATATGAATCATCTGAATCTCGTTCACTTCACCTTGCCGGAAAGAATCCACATTTGTAAAGTTTGATACAACAGGAACGGGTGCATTGATTAATTAAATGACAATATAATTTTGTCTCCCGTTTGCGTATTTCACGACAAAATCATTAAAATAACAATGAAATTAAAAAGCGGAAACATAGTTACAAACAGATATTTTTGTTGAATGTTTTGCTATACATACTACGTACACGATATCTAAATTGACTTGAAGATCACGAGGTATTTCTAGGTCTTTATGCCCGGTGTCACAGCGGATTTGGACCCCCCGCGGATATGGACCCCCGGTCCATATCCGCTAGCGGATTTGGACCCCCCGGTCCATATCCGCTAGCGGATACGTACCCCCTCCGCGCGGATTCGGACCCCCAATATTTAGATAAAATTATAAGCCGCTCGTTTCAAACATCTCGCTTTTCATGGGCCTGGCTATTGTTTTTGCCACCATAAAACAAGGCGCCGTCTTTCAAAACAAAAACTTTTCGGCTTTCTTTCTAAGATTTTTTTTATCTTTTCCAGCACTACTAGGATAGCTACCATCACAAAGATAATTAAAAATTTCATAGTAACAATTCTTTTCAGTCATCGCAAAGTGTGCCACTTATAAGACCAACCGCAAAATATTTAGTATTTACTGTCCTTCTATCACCAAGATACAACGCACGTGCTGGTTCATATGGTTGTAAATTTATTATCGAAATTAAGATACCTAATAGCATCAATTAACTG